CTAATTCGTTTAAAACTATAGACTTAGTATTTTGACTTCACAAACACCTAATTTGAACCAGTGCTGCATTCAACATACCACGTGACACACAAAAATCAATGTTTATCTGTGTTTTTTAATGTTTGCTTTTAAATTAAGAAATTGAGTAATATATAGTACTAAAATTTGAATTATAATCTACAGTTTGATACCAAACTTATTTACATAAATTCATGAAACAGTAGTTCAATAAAATTTTGAATGCGAATCAACAAACGAGATGACATGGCCTTTCACCGTGCCACCTCGAATAGGTTAAGAAATTATTGCATCTTGTTTTTGATTTCAGCTTTTCTAAAGCCTCTGTTGTGCACCAGAATATCATCAGCAAAGGACAGTAGATGGCAACTTATTGGACTGTCAAGGGTGCTATATAAATGGTGTAGATTTTTAAGTACGTGTGTTTTCTTATAGCAAAGCCACATCGTGCTATCTGCTTTGTCTACCGAGGGGAATCGAACTTCTGAATTTAGCATTGTAAATCCAAAGATTTACTGCTGTCCTACAGGGCAAAAGATTTTTAGTATTGGTAAGAGTGGTGATTCTTTTGAAGCAGAACCTATGAATGGTGATTCATTTTGATTGCCACCTTCCATGCTTCATGATGCATCTTCTGATAGTTAGTACAACTATGACTCACATATGTTACACCAATGCCTATTTTGAGTAGTCTGTCAGCAAGAATAGACAGCTGGACTCTACTGTAGGCATCTTCCAAACCTAAAGCTTATTGACGTAATCAATGCACAGAGATAATTGCTTATATCAATTAATCAAGTTAATCACCCTGCTCTCATCACGAAGGACACATTGGTTAATATATATCTGCAATGAAGGTCTCGCCTCAGCCTTCTTTACAGTGTGTGGTACTATCATCATCATAAATATCTCACATTTCTGTTTTTGGTTTCTGTGCCAGTCATAAGCTTGTGGAAATGTTTCTGAGATTGTCCTTGCTGCATGGTTCATTTAATTTGATGCCTTGTGTTTTGAAAGTCGATCACCTGAGGACAACACAGATTATTATGTGCAATCCTTGCCCCCTCTGCCTGGGCTGTGTCATGCTTTATCTGCACAGACTAAGACTGAGTTTGACTATGTACTTTCTAGGTTTTATGAGTATCACTCTTCCACCAGTAAGGAGTGTTTCTTTTGCAGAAGCTGTTACCTTAAATTTGCTCAATGATGGAGAGATGATTGATGATACGAGCATTGCCATATAGGTTGACATCCTTGTATGGGTTTCTAGCTTCTTTTATACCACTATGCCTGCCATTCTTCAAACACACATATACATCTCACACAGGTGGGGTTAGCAAAAGCAAGTTCTAAACAGGAGTCTTTGTCACCATGAAACTCAGCAATTCTTGTTAAGTCACCAGAGTTTAGCAGTATGTCGTTAGTAGCTAAACTGTGAAGTGTGAACCTTTGCCATTAGTGTTGTCACACAGATCAGGCAGGAACTTACTATCTATAGCAGGATTTGCTAAGTTACATTTCATTTACACATTAATGATTTGGATGTGTGAAGGTAACGTCAGATAAGCTATCTGTATGGTTTGTAGCTTGCAATTGTGATTATTCCACTGAGAGCTGTCATAATGTTCATAGCAGATACTGCTGTTTTGCTGAACTGCATTGGCCATCCCAACCCCTATGAAGTCACATGAAGTTAAAATCAGTGAAGGAGAACTCCTCAGGGTCTAAGAGTTTATTCTTTTGAAAGAGTATGAGGTCATAAGTTTTAAGCAGTAACGTATTTGAAAGTAGTAGAGTCTGGTGAACATTTTATGCATGCAACATTTAACAGTTTGGTCTTTAGGCCTTGGTTTTTCCTGTTTTTCTCTTTCCCTGCTGATCATTAAATGTCTGCTATTGAGTGAACAAGCTCTGTTGTTCCCCCGAGCACCCTCCAGGACACTATTTTAAATATATTATTGTCTGTAGTTAGTACATTAACAACTATCTGTTCAGAACTTTTGATTACTTACACAAAAATACTGCTTTATTTTATTTTGAGTACATGGTGAATAATCATCTGTGCTCATGTCACAAACATCTGTTAAAAGACAAAACCTCTGCAAGTTGAACTGTGCAGATATTGTTCAGAAATGGTATGGCAACAATATGATATGTGATTACATTTTAAGGTATCTGGCATCACAGATGCAATTACAGACACATCTTTTGCACTTATAGTTAAAAAGCCTTATGTAGAATCCATTAATATATGCATAATAGGTAATAATGCACACTTCACGTGCAATGTATTAACTCTAACTCCAAGGTGAAAAAATGACAGCATAAATTTATTACAGTATCTAGCTTTTAGCTTGTTACAAGCATACATGTATTATTCTCCTTTTAATAAAAAGTGACCAAAATGACTCATCCATAGAGTATACTTTTAAATAATGTGTAAGTAAATACTTTTCCTTATCACTACCATTGTTAAATTTTTATTCTAGAACAGACATAGGCCTAATTTGAATTTAAGGTGGACCTAATCAATATAAACCTCATTGCCATGTGGGAAAATTACAATCTTGTATCTTTCCAAAGAATTGCAGTCAATCCCCCCCCCCTTCATTTTTTCTTTATTAACAAAATGGTGGAGATTAAGATTAAAAGTAGTAATGTAACTTTAGAAACAGCACAAAGAATTGCTAAGCCTAGCCTAGTGATAGAAGTGTATTAAAAATTACATAATAAGAATTATGAGTGAAAGTAAAGATGAATGTAATATTTTAACTATACTATATCTACTATATCCAGCAAAGAAAAAGCCTTTTGTCCAATACCAAGGCATATTAACAGAAGTTATCTATTGTTTTTCAAAAATAAGCTGAAATTAAACGAAACATTTAAAACAAGTTAATGAGAATATTAATTTAAGCCTTAAAAATACAATAAATCATAAGAGCTTATTTTTCCCAGATCTTTACTCTGAATTGTTTTAATTGACTGTTTGTTTGAATTTTGCTTTGTGCTGCCTCAACTGATGATTTTATTATGTTTGTATTAACATAATAACCTTATTTGTTCCATAAAACTTTAGTTAACTGAAATAGAATTTGAATAGAGTTGTATAAGCTATAGGGCAATGTCTCAGTGAAAGAGATTCATAACGTGTGTTGTTTATTCATTTTCATCTTTATTTTATCATATTGCAATTAATTTTTCAAGTATTCTAATTATGCAACTTAACTTTCAAGAATTCTAAGTACTGTGTCATATGTGTTTAATGTAGTCCAACAATCATAATTAGACAAAACTCAACATGAAAAAACTTATGTTTTGTGTGAGTTTTGTTATAGCAAAGTCACATCAAACTATCTGCTGTCCAACAAGGGGAATCAAACCCCTGGTTTTAGCATTGTAAATCTGAAGACTTACCACTGTCCCACCGGGAGACTTTATGCTTTGCATCCACAGTGAGGAAATAATTATTACATAAGAATCTCAAACAATACCTGTTATTGTGTAATTTAACCTAAAAAAGATTAGAAATTAAAAATAATTAATATCAAAAAATTCTTACCTGTGAAAGTCTCCTAAGATATTTTTCAAATCTATCAAGGTTCAGGTACCCTTCTTCATTGATGTATCCTAATTGATTATTAGCTCAAATAAATACAACAGAAATTTCAACCTGTTAGAAATTTACACACACACACAAAGAAGTTATGATAATTGAACTCTTTCAACACGGGATCAGTCCCTGGGACCGTCTTAAATTAGTAAGCGAATGTTAAAGAAATTTGGCAGATTATCAGCAAACATTACAATGCTTTCATATGCAAAATATAAAATTTTTTATTAAGTCTTAAGGTTTGTAAAGCAATGTTTTTCTCATGTCTATTTTTTTCTTTTCGCATGTTGCCTATCTATCATACAAAGTAATATTCATTTTAAGACTAAAAATACTTTTATGCATCAGAGAATTTTCAAATTTCATATGCTCAATCTTTATAGCATCCAGATAGTTATCAAACATTTCTTACGAAAAACTTTATATTTTATCTGCTACTTTCAGTAATTAATTTCTGTACTGATTTGGTAGTTTTGAACAATCTCACAACCACCATAAAAAATTAGGAAATAAGTATAAATTATGCCTCTTTCATTCTAGAATGAACACCAATTATAGTACAAACACATAAATGTTTAGATAAATAGCTTAAATCTCATAACATTATATATATATATATATTTATTATTTTTATTATATTGACCTTTCAGTCATGCCTGGCTGACAATACAGAAGTTACAATGATGTGGCTCATGTGCACTCATGTTACCTTATCAAATAACATAAAACTGAGTTTTGGTCTGTACAAAGTAGCTTGTTTTGGCTGTGTTTTAGTCAACTAGTATTTTGTAAAATACAGTCACATTTCAATTATTATACATTACATATGTATATAAATTAATGCTATTTTGAAATAAGTTCTTAAACTTATTTTTCTTAAAGAAAAGTAACTAAAGAAGTAAAGCAAACAATTAACTTTTCTAGTTATGACCTTTATACTGAGTTGCTGTTTGATGTAGGTTGCTAAGCCTTTAAAAATTTCACATGTGGAGGATATGAAACAAAATAATTTTTTTTAGGTTTTATATATATATATATATATATATATATATATATATAT